TGCTCCTCGTAGTAAGGCCAGGAGCCCCTAGTAGCGTCCTTGCTCCTAGTTCCCTGGTTGATGGATCAGTTGGACGGAGCCGTCAGGCCGCAGGTCCGGCGGCTTTTTCGGCAGGGCTTTAATGTTGGAATTCAGATCCCGGTGTTGGAAGGTAGAGATGAGCCAACTTTGGCCGATGTTTCAAACAGGTCCTCATGCATTGAGCCTACAACGTATCCTCGTATTTTGTTTTACTGAGAAGTCTGGATTGCCCTGATGCATTACCTTGTTTGTCTCAGGCCGCCGGACAGGCTCATTGAGATGCGGGAGGACAGGAGGTGTTCAGTCCAGTCGAGACACATGAGAGAAACGAGGTCTTACTACGGCCGCCGAACGCTGAGGAGAGGCCTAAGTGGAAACATTGCCTGAGTAAACCAGATATAATATGTGTGACTGCACACTGCAGACCTGCATCAACCTAAACGGCCTCAACGTTAGAGCCGATAGAGTGGGATGTAAAAACGAGCACCACAATCAAGCAGGTACACATCCGTTGCCAGTGGATGCTTCCCTTTGTGATGCATAGCTTCATTGGGCAGAGTAGCGTCAGAGAGTTCTGTCGTCCTGCGAAGTCTGATAGAACCCAAAGATACCCATGACTCCAGGGCGGACACACACACACACACACCAACCTTAAAAGCTCAAACACGCTCAAACTCACTAAGAAGTATTTGCAGGCACCTTGCTGGTAAGATGCTCATTTTTCGTTTTGGAGGAACAGGCCCAACGCCTGGAGCGGCTTCTTCGGAAGGTCCGCCCCGGCAAGGGCCCCGATGCCCCGTTGATCCGCGCAGCCGAACTCCGGCTGAAGAGGCGAGTGTCGCAGCGTCGACGTCGAGAAGTGAGCTCGCCGACGATGTTTTGGAGACTTCGAGACGAGACTTGATGTTTTGTTTGGTTTCGATTGGTGCGCTTTGAGACTTGGAGAAACCTTCAGAAGCTAAAGAAGCAACGATGGATCTAGGGATTGGATGTCGTGCACACTCACAATTCCAGCTGTGAAACCGCGAAGAGAAAAACTTGCTAGGCTCCAGGAGCCGCTGCCTGTGCAGGTGCCAACCAAGCGAAGCAGTGCTGGTTAACCCGTTAGTTTGTTCGCTCCATCACCCCAAATCGAACGAAAAACACTAGAAATCCTTTACTCTTTTCATTCCTCTTGACAGAGGAATGCCTCCAGTCCTTCATCTCTCCCACCTCGTGTTCTCAGCCCACGCGGTGATGTTTTGTTCATGAAGGAGCAGCTGGAGCCAGAGGTCAAACTTGAGGCAAGAGAGCACTTTCTCGAAACTCTCTTACAGTGCAATCTCCTGTAGGCAGGTCACAGTGATAATTTAGGATGGGTGCCAAACCCGTTCTTTTTTTAAAACTGATATGGTGGGTGAAAAGCCCGGGACCTTGGTTGACCCTGGAGAATGAACAAGATGGACTACCAGGAAGAGGGAGTGGTGCCGCCCATTGCAGAGGACTGTCGAGGTATGCGGTATGCTGGTGTTGGAGAGTTTTTGATAGCGATTGAGCTGTGGTGCAATCTTGTTGGTACTCTAGGTAGGAAGCGTTCTTGTTACTACTAGTAAGGCACTTGTTACTACTAGCGATGCACTTGTTTCTACTAGAAAGGGAGTTAGATGGAGTTAGAGTCGACTTTCGTGTTCGTCTCAAGGACCCGGAACTTGATGAGATTCCCGAGGCACAATTCACGATTCTGTCGCCAATGCCGCTTTTTTTCACGACCCGTCCAGGCCGTCCAGGTCCCCAAAGGGGTCGCTGAAGAATGAGAGAAGCTGAGAAGAAGCTGAGAACGATTGAAATCTTCAAAAATGAGCAGCTGTTCATCCTGTCCCACTTGAGAAGATGGGAACCAGATTGAGCTTCCCAGGTGCCCATTGTGAAGCATCAGGTGTGATTCCAAAAAAAACATGTAGATGGAGCAAGTTTCTGCAGTTTAAGCCATGTCCAGACAGATTCGGATCTATCAGAGGCCGTTTGTGCCAAACATGAGGGAAGGCAATCTGGAAAACTGCAGGGTGTGCGGCCTCCATAGTCACTGAAACTAGCAGCGTGGCGTCACTTGCCGTTGCAGATTGACGCAGAGAGGAAAATAGGCAGATCGATCAGATCTTCATGGTGAACCTTCGGTACAAAGAAGTCCGAATGGGGGGGTAGGTCATAGTAGGCAAGTAATAACTAAGTCGCTTGAGCAATTACTCGGTTAAGACGCACTCCCGGCGGGAGCTTGCTTGAAGAACCCCTCATGATTGATTTGGTTTCTGTTGGATATGATTTTCAAGAGACACTCAAGTAACTTAAGTTCTTTCATTTGCGGCTTAGCTCTTTCAAGCTGTGGTGCCAGGTGGACTCCACTGATCCCCCAGCGCGACCTTCCAAGACTAAACAGCCAGATCATATGGCTGACATTGAATGACCGCCAAAAAAGGTGCGATGTGTCGAGAGAATGCTCGATTCCGTAAGATTTTGAACTGTTGGAGTTTCTACTTGGCTTTGCGTGCACCGTCAACAAAAGGATTCCACACTTGGATGGCAAGTGTGGCGGATTTGTGTCAGCACTGCATTTCTCCAGCCAAGCGTTACCGGTTGCTGAACCAAAAGCTGATCCCTCTAGATGTTGATATGGGAAGAACTGGCCGAAGATGCCACCACAGGTTGCCGACACCTGGTTCCCAAGCCCGCTTGTGTTTCCAAGCCCCCCTTGTGTTTGACATGGGCAACGAATGCAACGTTGAACAAAAAGTGTAAAAGCACAGATAATTTTGAAGCCAAGGAGGTCGAAGTTGAATCTGCCGATGGCCGTGAAATCCGATCCACCTCCGAAGCCATGGCTGTCGACCTTACGTCATGCCGGAGGCTTGGAAGGCGATCTACGAGGAGAGGTCTGAACCAATCTGTTTACAGCCAACTCCTTACTTTGTTTCTTTCCTTGATACTACACCTATTTGAGGCAACTTCTCACTTCATCTCTGTGAATTTGTCAAGGACAGCGACTCCGATAGCCCGCGAGCACCCGGGCGATCGGAGCGAACGGCACCCACAAGGGTCTCGGCGACCACCGCGGCACCAGAAGCACCATCCGTGGCACCGGCCGTGGCGACGCCTGCTGCGCCTGCCCTTGCAGTGTTGCGGCAGAGGGCAGAGGCAGGTGTTCTGGATATGTCATCGTTTCAATGGGAACGAAAAGAAAGAAAGGGCATCGCTACTAGGAGCAAGGACGCTACTAGGGGCTCCTGGCCATACTACTAGGAACAAGAAGCTACTAGTAACACAGGGCATCGCTACTAGATCGCTATTGGGTTGGAGGCCATTAAAGTCTCTTGACTTTTTGTCAGGCCCGGCGAAGCCCGCAGACATCACGGACCAAGTGCAACAGGTGTTTTGGGGGCACGAGGATTGCACCATGATTCAGTTGATCCGAAGTGCCACGAAACAAAAGACACAAGGAGAATTAGATGGACAATTAAATTAGGCAGTTGAATTAGACAATTAGAGCTTTCTCGATCACTTCAGTCTCAACTGTTCACCAGGTCGGGGCGGGGTGCTTTGGGCCTGCTGGAGCCCGACAGCAGCCTGATAAGAAAAGTACAAATCGAATCTAAATCGGTTTTGTGGCCTTTAGCGTTAGCTTTTTGGCCGAACTCAGGCAGCGATTCAGATGGACTTGAGGCGGGAAGATGGTAGAGGTCCCAACAAAAGGTCGACTCGGACCCGTCGGACCGAGCGACAGGCAGGAGGAGTGGAGTTGGAGCGACAGTGTAGACCTGAGATCCGTTAAACGAAGGGGCACACCCGACACACTTGGATCACTCACGTGGAACGTCGTTTAATCCCAAGCATATTTAGCAAAACTTCCAAGCTTCCATGTACAACAAGCAAGAAGGAAAACGGCACTGGGGCGACTTGGGCATGGTCCTGTCTCGGGACAGATGTGTTCTCCGATGAGAGCAGTTTTGGTGGTTTTCAACAGCCCAAAATGGTCTGACACAGAGTCTTGGTAGAGTCGTAGAGTCTAGTCTTGGTTGGAGTAGAGATGGAAGTTTTGACAGTTTTGGAGATTTCGAGCAGGATTGAATCTAGGGAAAGGTCAGAAGAGAGGAGTACAGGTTTCCACAAGAGAGATGTTGTGTTGTCTTAATTCTTGCTGGAGCCATCGCCATCCATATGACAAATCACCACACACCGCACCCCGCTTCGAATTGTACCTGGTATTTTGTAGTTTGGACCTTCGGATACCTTCGGTCTGGATCAACGAGGTGTCCAAAACGCCCTGCGGAGCAGCCCGAGCCAGTTGGACCTTCTACCACCAAGAGGCTTGCTGTGGAAGTGCCAGTGCAGGCGGGAAGTGACGACGGAAGGACCACAAGGCCACAATGCGGTTCTAGCATGTTGTAGCTGCTAGCTGTTTTCATTTTGCGACCTCTAGAGACTCTAGACATCTCTAGACGCTTAATGACCATGTTTTTGGATTTTAGACAAGTGTCGCTCGTTTGCAACGGAACTGACACTAAAGGCCGAGACTCGGGCGACGGGAAACGGGTGGCCGTGACCGTGAGGTAAAACATCGGTGAGAGACGGTGATGTAACCAATAATTAGCTAAGTATTAGCTAGTGAAGCTACTAGGCATCAGGACGCACTCGCGGCTTCCTTGACCCTTGCATGATTGATTTAGGCTACTAGGTGCTAGAGGTTCATTGGAGGTTTCCCAAGAAGGGTTTCCAGAAGTTTTGGTGGGAGAACGAGGGGTCAAAAAGCATAAACAAGTTGCCAGGTGGAGAAGCAGTCGGGGCTGCTAATGCAGGAACGCCCATCAATGGCTCAGGAGGCAGGATGAGGACATCCATTGCAAAATCTGCGAGAAGAGTGACAACTGATTGGAGAAGATCAACAACCTCAAATGCAAAACGCATATCTATCGGAGATTATCGGAGTAAACTGGAAGAAGTTCAAACTTGTGCAGTCAGGAGTCAGGACTTAAGTTGAATGGTCGGGCATGTTCTTGCAAACTGCAGGCTGCTCCAGTCCCGGTTCCTGCCATCCCGGTCCCTGTGGTGCCTGCGGTGCCGGCGGTGCCGCCTGCGGTGCCGCCCGTGCCGGAAGAGGTCAAGGTGCTCGAAAGGCTCGAGGCGATCGAGGCGAGCAAGGCCGTCGAGGTCGAAGCAAACCGAGGCGGGGAAGATAAGAGATGCAACGGAAAGGGTCCACCGTCCCATCCAGACACCATACGACCTCATGTTTTCCTTCCTGCTTTGACATCTATTTATCTAAGCTATTTCGATTCCCTTTTCGTTGAACATTCTGTCATCCATTTTTTTCAGTTGCCGAGACGGTCTACTCAATTTGCTCTATGCATTTTTATGTTCCACAGTCCACTTTGGTTTAGTCGATGTACTAAACTTCAGTAGCCTAAAAGGCTTTTGTATGCTTTTGTGTGTTCCTTGTTTCCCTTGCTACAATTCAAGCGATCGAGTTTTTAGTGGACAATCTCTGTTGCTGACTTCACACGCTTCAGGAAAGAAGTCGCTGAAGTCCTTTTTGGGCCGCAGACCCGGCACCCGGCGGGTCACATCACCTCAGCGAAAAACGCATCTCCGAGGTCCGGACGAAGGATTGGCTGCAAAGTGGTCTGAAGGTGACATGTCGAGACTGCGCCTTGTGCGTTGAGCCTTTCTTTCTTTCTTTCTGCTTCATGCTTTTTCCTAGTAGCGAACATTGCTCCTGGTAGTAGTAAGGCCAGGAGCCCCTAGTAGCGTCCCTTGCTCCTAGTAGCGATACCCTTTGCTCCTAGTCGCGTCCTTTGCTCCTAGTAAGTGCTGTGCAATCGAAAGGTGCACTTCAGCTTCCTGGGGTCGAACTTCCAGAGCCAATTGCCGTTTGGATCGCATCAAGATGTGCCTAAAGAATTCGTCGCATTCGACAGCATTGCAGCATATATTTCCTAATATTCATCTATAGTCAAAAGTAGAAGGTAACACATGCTGAAGTCCGATTGATCTCACAGCTAGCCTTCAAGGCCAGTTGTCTTCGTGGCTACCAAAGAGAGGCTGTTATGAAGCTCCAGATAAAGATAACTGAATTTTGACATGCGATGATTGCACATACACGAAGTTACAATATGCGAATCTATTGGACTCTCATCCAAGTTGTTTCTTGGGGCATTTTCTGTATCTGAAGGGACCTTCTGCGCATTGAACGCAGTTGGCAGGGTGTGCGCTGGCTCTACCAGCGGCTCTTTATGGAGGCAGTGACAGATGATCCAACGAATGAGGGAGGTCAATTGAGGTCGCGATGAGGTCACCACTAGTCAGTTTCAATCTTGATCTTTGGAATCCTTGGCCGCCTAGGAGCCTAGCTTTGTTGGCTCAGTTTCTGCTGCTTCCACTTCCGTGATTTGCCTTGTGTCTCACTCCACTCAGTCAGACTTCATACGCAGACTCGTGGCTGCCTCCTTACAGATGAGATGGGCCTTGGGAAGACGGTGTTTGGCTCTGAGTGTTTCCGTGTTTCCGCCAGTTTTTGAACGGAGTTTGATCATGTTTTATTCAATTGTTGATTAGGCAAGTTGCCTGCTGCCTTGCTGCCGGCCTTTTTGCGGTCGGGGCCCCCAAGACACTGGGGTGAAAAAAGGGACACTGTTCAGAATCCGCAGGCTGGATCTGACGTCGGTGCCGTTCTGGTGGTGTTTGACCCTCAGAGTTTGAGCTTACAAAGGGCCATCCATGGCCACAGACACAATTCCCAAGAAACCTTTCACCACCCGATAGCTTGGGGAAGGTGTACAAATGAAAGTTTCAGGACATTTTGACATATTAGAACTATTCTTGCAGGTGTCCTCCAACGTTGGTGCGGAATTGGGCGCGCGAACTCACTCGTTGGGGCCCCTTTGCAGTCGAGGCGCGGGAGAAAACCTTTTGGTGCTCCGCTCCGTACCACATTCTGCCGGGTTCTGCCAGGTCCTGACACCTCATGGGGCCAACCGGCAGCGTGTGTTTCAGCGACGCTGGGTTTGCACCCAGAGATCTGTTGAGCACTGACCCTTTCAGCTTTCAAGTTTGTGTGTTGAGGATAAACAACAGCTTGAAGCTGACAGATTTTGACATGCCAGCCAAATGAGGAACGGAAATTGTTGGCAAACAAGTAATTAGTTGAACATAGTTGAACTAAATGCTTGTTTGCTTGACATTCCTCATGAAGCTCAGGTGTTGAGGCTGGCTTGACGGATGTGCGGAGCTTGGACACTTTGACGTCGAATCGAGTTGGGTTTGAACCAGCATCGACCAAGGTGGTGGTGGCCAGCCGTGGCTTGCTTATCAGGCCTGTGTCTCAAAGACAAAACATGAAGAAATCGATGGGCGAACAGCGAGCACACCAAAATCGTTTGGAATATCGTGGGGATTTGCAGGGTAGGCATGTCTTTGAGACGTCCTCCCTATATCGAAAAGAGCCTCGTTCTAGCTTGCCCTAGTCAACAGCGGTTGTGGGCTTTTTTTCCACCACTCTGGGAAGAACGGACGGATGGCAAAAGGAAGAACAACTTGCTGGGTAAGCTCATGGTGCTGTGCCCTCCCCCAAAGACCTCACCCCTTTTCAAAAGTTCATAATTAGCCAGCCAAGCCAACACGTTTTGTAGTTATTTATCAATGTCTTTGCAAAACCTATGCGTATGACATGTTGTGTGCTTGTGGGAGAGGTGCACCTCCAGCTTTCTTTCGCAGTCCTAAGCCGTTGTGAAGATAGACTGGGTCACAGCATAAGCGTGACTGACAGACATGAGAAGTTCTGCCCAAGACGTGAATCTGCGCTTCCAATGTGCTGTGCAGTCACACGTACAACATAGACTTAATCCTGCCTTGGTTCCTTGCTGGAGCCTTTCATGGAAAGTGCAGCGAACCTGCTGACCGACTGCCATCGAGCAATATGCAAAACCCGGAACAACGTTCCCACAGTTTTGAGGTCAGAAGGCCCATGTGCAGCAGAGGCACTTCTGTCCCTGAGGCGCCCCAAAGTCCGCAGACACGGCAGACACGGTTTGTTGGTCGTTTGGTTTCAGATGCATCATGCTAGATCACAAAATTGGTCTTCGTCCCGTCAGGTGGGGATGCGTTGTGGTTGATGAAGTGCACCAAGCGAAGAACCCCAAGGGTCAGCTGCACAAGGCAGATGATACCACAGAAGCACCAGATGCAATGGACGGCTTGATTAGCTAAGCAAACCCTGAGTGAAACGAAGAAGAAGAAGAAGAAGAAGAAGCTGAGCAGACAGCGAGCCTTCGTCGTGTCACGTTCAAGGCCATCGTGTCACTACACAGCCCCCGAAAGCTGGGCCTCACAGGCGAAGTGCCGAAAGTCACTACACAAGCTTTGGTTTCGTTTCGCCTTGTGTTCTTTCGTTTCGCCTTTTCGTTCTTTCGCTTCGATGCTTCGCTTTCGCTCGTGTGAGGCACACCACTGCAGAATTCGTTGACAGATGCCAGACGCCCAGTGGATCTACGGTGACCGACCGTCGAGTGTCGAGCGGACAGGTTTGGACGCTCTTGCGGACTGTGGAAGCCCATGAGGGCTGGGCACAGGGCTCAGAGCGGTGCACTGACGTGCGACCGTGGTTCGCGGTTCCGGACAACCGCTGTTTTGTGAAGTTTTGTTGGAGCTAGATTTGTTGGAGTTTTTAAGCAGTGCGGTGTGGTCCGGGAATTGCGAAGGGAAGCAGGAAGCAGGAAGCATAATGTTGATCCAACAATGTACCCAATGGACAGCGCAGGCAAAAAGGCATTAAATATGGCGAAGAGGTTTCTTTCACCAGGGCAAGTTGAGCCCAAGAAAAGAGTGCACCAAAGAACTTACGTGAGCGTTGAGTCACCAAGCCTACTATACAAACAGTTCACACAAAGTTGCACTGCACAATGCAGGTTGTTTCAATATGTGTTCTTGCTTTATTGTTGTCTTCGTTTTCGTGTTTCTCTCATGTTTCTTCGTTTAAACATGTTTGTGGACTCGAGCAACTCACACCGAGGAGCTCGGAGCCTTCGAGAGTCGATTCAGTCGGCCCATCTTGAAGTCGGAGAACTCAGCCCGAACTTGGCAAAGCCGCAAAAAGAAGTTTGGCAGTTGAAACAAAAACAGTTTGCTGGTAAAAGAGCTGTGCGCAGAAGGCAGATACTGTCTTTTTTCGCCTCTCTGTGCAGGGGTCAGAAGCGAAAAGCCTCAGCAAAAGATCTGGCTGTGCGGGAGGATGCTTTGAAGGAGTTCCAGGAGCTTTTGGCGAGGAACTGCCTCCGAAGGAGACCGAAGACGCATTGTGTCAATACATTCAAGACGCATTGGACCACAGAGTGAAAAGAATGCCTGCCCTAATTGACTCCATTTACTGGGAGACACCGGGGCTGAACATGCACAGCCATTCATGTGCTCTCAAGCCCAAGTTTTGGTGTGTGAATGGGCAGATGTGGGCAGCTTTGTAGGACAAAAGATGACGTTGCATTGATGTTGCCAGGGAAGAATGATCGCGCCACTTGGGCTGCGAAGAATTGATGGGACACATGGGTGACCCATGTGCGCAGCAATGCGCAGCACATTCAGACACCCCAGAAAAGCAACTGAAAGAAACAGGGAATACTGTATCAGTGATATCAGACGATATTGGGATATCATAGGCAATCCTTTTGTCGTCGCTTCATGGCCTCCAACCTAATAGCGATGGCCTCCACCTAGTAGCGTCCTTGTTACTAGGTGCACACGTTGCTCTTTGCATCTCTTTGCTCACGCGGCAAATGTGTCGCTTCTTCACCCGGACGAGGTTGTGCCCTGTCCTTTGAGTCATTTGCAGCGAGCGGCCTACCAGAACTTGCTCGAAAGCTGAAGGCTTAGTCCGAGATCCCATTGGATTTGGAATCCTTTTCCACGCAGAAAGTCCATTGACATCAAATACACGCAGTTTCCCTCTTTGATGTCCCATGCGACACCTCAACAGCGTGCAGGAGGCGCTCTCAGTAGGATTTGAGTTTTCTCAAGGTTTGCTATCTAGAATCTATCTCACCATGAGCACCAATTTCATACTGCGTAATTGGAGTGTTCGATAGTGTAGTTATGTTAAGTTTCCCTAAAAATCTAGGAACCCAATGAATAGTGTGAGCGCTTCTTCAAGGAAGCTCCCCTCGGGCAGCGGGAGCTTCCTTGAAGAAGGGTGAGTTATCCTGCGTCCAGTAGGTATTAGCTTAAGTAGGTAGCGAACTATATACAATATACTCCCTTCCTTAATTAAGTATGCGCCTACTTAATTGAAGGAGGCAGGGCAGCTAAAAGTGCTTTGAACATCGACTCTCGACCTCCAAGGCCCAGACTTCCAAATTGCACTCGGCAAGCGAGAGCTGTGCGTTTGTGGTGCTGGCAGGCTCACGGCTTACGCCCACATGTCAAAAAGAGGGCTTGAAGGTCAAAAGGATTCAAAAGGTCTAAAGTGAAGTACATTCTTGAACAGCAGTTAAAGTACATGTTGGTCTTTTTCAAGGTACATGTTTCACATTAGCAAGCTGGATCCAGGCCTTGCTTCTGCGGTGCTGGGCCTGTGTGGCGTTACGTGCACCGCCGCCAGGCCGAAAGCAAGGTGGGAAACAGGACCTTTTCTCATCAACTGTTCTTATGAGAAGTGGTTTCGGCATCACTAGAATGATGACGAGTGATGTGCTAAGCATCACAGATTTGACGAGATTTATTCCTGTTTGACTTTATTCTAGCTGTTGTTTGGCATTCAAAGTTTTCAGGGCCTCGAAGATGAATGGGCTGCAGCTGATGAATGTGCCTGCCAAGACCTTTGGACTCTTCAACTCACTGCTTCTTTGTACGAATTCAATTCCGTCTCAATGAATTTGTCTCAAAACCGCGTTCAAATATGCGTACGAATGTCTTGAAAGGTCGTGGGCGGAAGTCACCGAAGTGCATGGCCTTGTCGCTGATTGCTGGGAGCCTAAGGGAATGGAGGATTTAGGCCAGATGGCAACGGTCACTTGACTTGCTTCTTTTGGTTGACCTTTTTCAACCCGCTGCAGTTTGCAAACTTGGCGTTCGAATAACTCTTTGGAGAATAGGTGGATTGTGTAGTGGGCAGTAACGTGACTGCCACACCCCACAAGCCTTTGATTACGACTCCAGTAGTGATTTAATGATTTGCACAGAGAACATCTCGTGCAGCCAAGAATGGCATGTGCATCTACTGGCTTCGCAGAATCATGTTTAAAGTCTTGGATGTGGAAAAGAAAGTCCTGCACAAGTGCCACCAGGTCATCCTGCAGCGTTTGTGCAACCATTTGGAGCAATTGAAGCCAGACGCGCAGCCCCCCAAAGGCTGACGACTTCTCAAGGGAAGCAAAGGAAGAAAGGGAAAATGGTCTCAAGGATTCCAAAGGTCTTACTTCTAACGGGAAAAAAGTAAAAAGTAACATAAACTAAATAAACCGTAAGCAAAAGAACGTCTCTCTATCAAAGGTAGACCGCAGACTCAAAACGTAGAACCACGTTCTGACCCTGACGAGAGGACTCAGCGGAGGCAAACCAGCAGGAGACGAAGCTGCAACTTCCGAAATCGCGATTGAAACTCGTCAAGCATTGTTCAAAGTCAGCCCTTACTTAATTAAGTATGCGCCTACTTAATTAAGTAAGGGAGTATATAGATCGCTACCTACTTAAGCTAATACCTGCTGGACGCAGGATAGCTCACGCACGATTACTTTTAGGGAAACTTAACATATCTTTTGTAGCTGTACTTTCGTGGAATTTGACGAGTTTGGAGAGCGATTTGTCAGTACGGATGACCGTACTGTGCAATAGCAGGATCTCATGCGGGAGCTTTGTGACCTGGCCTTCAAGGGAATTGTCGCTTTGCTGAAGTTGTATTAGACAAACTGCACAGAGACCGAGGATTTTCATGGATTGTTTGTGGTGTGAGTCACCAGGCTTGCAACCAACCGCTCTGCAAAAAAACTCTTCGTGTCACAGCGAAACCAAAACGAAAGGTCGGCTCCAAACGAAATGGCGGCGCTCGAATGATCGCTCCCTTTTTCTTGGGCGCTTAAGTAAAAGCAGCTTCGATCGGTTCACCATGTCAAGGTGTCCAGTGCAATGCTCACAACACTCCCCCTCCATGGTGACGCTAGGCTGCCATGGTCATCAACCTCTTCATTTTCATCAAAATTCGACCGCTTTTGGTCTTCCAGCTCAAGCTGCTTCGTTTTCATTGGCCAGAACAGGCCGAGCAGGGCGTGTATCGAAGAACCTCACCTCGAAGCGACCGACACACCCTGTTCGAGTGTGCAATGCCACCCCAACTGGTTGTCCACAGGGTGACAGATGTCATCGTTCCCATCATGCTGGTGCACTCTTCGCACCATCGACTTTCCTTGACCGTCCCCGTCCGAGGATTGGTCAAGTAAGGGCACATCATTGTTCGGTGATGGACTCGACCGAACTTGGTTGTCAAGATCTTTGGATCCTGGCCTTCACCTTGCTGCATTGGCGGAGGCCTCACATGTGCTTTCGCATGCGCACTGCTTTCTCCTCTCTGCTGGAATCGTGACTGGGCGGCTGCTGATGCCGACATGGCCGATGATGCAGCCCCAGTTGATCCCCTTTTTTCGTCTTTTCGCTCCTCTTCTTCTTCTTCTTTGCGAGTCCTTTCCGCCTCCTCTTTCTTCTTCTTCCTTCTGATCTCGCTAAGGCTGTCCAAGCGGCATCCCGTCGGAGATGACGGTGACCTTTCTGGTTGGAGCCATTGACCATTGGGAGAAGGAAACCCCCACATTGTGACTTGGGTCACTGGAAGCTGGGTTGGAGTGTGAGGTGGCGCAGATCCTGGTGATCTCATCGGGCTCGGCAAATGAGATGGCCGAGACACTTCTTCTTCATCCTCTTCACTTTCTTTCTTTCTTATGGCTCGCAGTCTGGCTTCTCGTCGAGATGGTGTCCTGGGAGGACTTCGCACTGCCGACTCTTGGTCACTTGGTGATTGGTCTCGGCTGCGTGCTACTCCCTCCTTCAGGCACCAAACTAAGAGAAGCACCATCAGAGCCAGGGGAATGAGGATCATCATAACTTCCCATCCCAGGATCTCTTCTTCATCATCTTCATGCTCCCCCTGCGCCTTTGCGCTTGCCAGTGTGGCGGCGATCGTGATCAACTTAATGATCACGTTGGCCTTTTCTTCATTTTGGCCCTTCACTTCCTTTGCTTCCTTCTTCACTTTTCCTTCTTCATTCCATTCACTTTCATCTTCTCCTTTTTCATTCTTCACCTCGGTATCTCTGAGAGGTAGCCCCATGTTGAGCTGCTTCTTGAGGATTTCGACTCGAGGAGCTGCAAGTGCCTTCGTCCCCAAGTCTGCAATCATCTTCTCACCTGGCACGTGGTGCAAGGTCCACAGTCCGTCGAGGATGACTTGCCTCGCGTAGGAAGACCGCATGCGGAGGTGTCTCGTCCGCCAGCTGCCGCCTTCGGCTGTCAGGATCGTCATTCCTGATTGGCTATCTGTCCAAGCCATGCGAACGACGGGCTTGAACAGCTCATCCAAAATCACCCCTATGGACTCTCCTGCAACCATACCTTCAATCACTTCGTTCAGCTCGGCTTCAGCAGTTGACAAAGTGATCGTCGACTGCCTTCCAGATCGCCACAGGATTGGGCTGTTTCCCAGGAGGACCACCAGGCATCCATGACTCTCCTCTGAAGTTGGAGAGTAGGAAGCATCAGTGTACACATGAATCACTGGCTCAGTGTTGGCCTCCTCTTCAAAAATCAAGCCTTCTTCTTTCGTCTTCCAAAGGTAGCCTTTCATCTGTTTGGAGGCTTCGAGAACTGCTTGTGTTCCTTTGAGGACGGCTGAACCCATCCTTGAGACGCCGTACATGATGTCAGGGCGTGTTCTCGTCACCATCCATAGGAGTTCTCCTACGGTCTTTTGGGCAGCTTTGATGTCTGCCGCTGTTGGTGGGCTTGGATCATCCACCATGGCCGATTGATCTTTTGAGATCGGGATCTTCTTCTCTCGGAGCTGGTGCACTTCTGGCTCAAGGAGGTCTGTCGTGTAAGACTGTTGAGAAATGAGCCATCGATCTCTGCCAGTCTCCGGGTTCACCTGCTTGATGATCTCCATGCCCAAAAACTTCACTGGCTTTTCGGCTATGTACTCAGGACTTGATGTCGTCCACTGAGCTTGCAACTGATCCTTGACTGCCAACATCACTTTTCGTTCGGCAGTGATCATGATGTCATCGACATAAGTCATCAAAAGCCCTCGGAGCTTTGGTGCATCTTCGTCATGATGGAGTTCGACAATCCTCCACAAGTTTGGCTCCGAATCCAAGGCCTCTAGGCACAAGGGCTTTTCTTCTCCTTCAACTTCGATCTCCATCTTTTGGAGTACTTCATCACGGTGCTCACCCCACAGGCGTGGCGAGCGGCGGAATCCATAGACCGCTTTGAGTGGGACATAGTACGTGTCCTTGGCCAGCAATCCACGCTCCACGAAAAAGGCAGGTGGGCATACCAAAAGCAGCTGTTGATCTTCTTTTTGGGACATTTTGGCGTTCAAAAAAGCTGTCTTGACGTCCACCACACAGCCCTCCCACTGGTAGACCACTGCCACCCAAACCATAATTCGAAGGGCAGCTGAGTCGGCTCCAGCAGAGAAGTTCTCTTCATTTGGATCTTTGCTTTCGAAGTTTCCGCAAACGACCCAGCGGACTTTCTTCTTTCCTCCCTTCTTTCCAGGCTTGCGGGTGAAGACGAGCTTGGAAGGAATGAACTCAACTTTCACCCCTTTTGACTCGGCATCTTCCACCATTCTTTTCACCTCCCCCTTTGTGACCGGCTTCAAGGCTAGCTTGTCGGTGAGGAGAGATGTAATCTCATCTTGTGAAGGAGCCTCCCACATCACCCAACCTGCTGCGACTTCTTTCGGAGACACGATTCGGGTTTGGAGAACTTCTTCTTCTTCTGGGTTTTCTTGCGCCAACGATCTCTTCATTTTGGCCACCATCTGTGACGTCAGGATGGCAATGCTTGGCGGGTCTTCTAGCGCCAGGAGTGCTTCTTCCTCCAACAGTCTTTTGACATGGTTCCGGAACTTTTCTTCCTTTGTTTCTTCATCCTCAACCTCCTTTTGAAGTCTTTTGACGAAGGCTCAGGCCGTCCAAAATTTCCTTCTCAAGGGCGATCCAATGCCCCTCAGTTGGCGGGTCATCCAACCTCCTCATGTAGCACCTCGTGAGCCTGGGTCTTTCATCCTCCCCCACGATCCAGTGTCCGTGGTTCTCAGGGGACGGACAGAGATACCTCACCCGTTCACTGGTTGGGGCCAGGTCATCCCGCTTCCATCTTCTCCTCCGGACCATGACCTCCGTCAAAAAGGGCGGGAAGTCAGGAGACTGGTGGAGCCTTTTTGCTCTGAGAACCTCGTTGCAGTGTCTTAGGGCCCATGGCCACCACTTCGAAGTTTCTTTGGCCTGGTGTAAAGCCTTGCGAACCATCGTCTTCAATGCTTTCACTGCGGCCTCTGCACGTCCGTTGGACTGGGGTTCGTCCCCAGCGGTTTTGGTGAGGATGATTCCCCGCCGCCTTGTCCAGTCCTGAAAATGGCCTGCATATTCATGGCCTTGATCAGAGTGTATCTGAGCGACGGAGTATCCGTCCATCCTCAACCTCAACAACATGTCCATTGTCGTCCTTGTGACTTCCTTGGACTTCTTTGAGTGCATAGGCAATGCCAACCTGAAGATCTCGATCTTGAAGTCTTTTGGCGGCCCAGCATCACCTTCTTTTCCTTCAGCCTCAATGGCCCCTTCATCATCTTCTCCTTCGGCCTCAATGGCCCTTTCATCTTCTTCACTCTCATCATCATCGAAGACTCCTCGGCCCGCTTCTTCTTCAGCGTCCGACAATCCTCCTCGACGTTCACCAAGTGGCACCTTGTCGTCCTTTGGCGGCACCTGGTCATCC